CTGCCATCCAGCCGGGTCCACCGCCGCCTTCAGCCGCAGCACGCGCAACCTCCGACCTCTCTGTCCCAGCGAGCCCCGCGCAGCCGTTAGGCGTGCGCCTGCGCCGTGGTGGCCGCCCGGCTCCCGGAAGCCACGCCCAGGCGCGTGCAGGCAGGTGGGGCTACAGCTCGGGCAGACCTCGCTGGGTTCCGGGTTCACTTGGGCTCACCCGGGCTGCTGGAGGACAGCCTGGGTGACAGAGCGAGACTCTGTCTCAAAAAAAGAAAGCCTATTGCAAGAGGTCGCACGCCTGTCGTCCCAGCTACTCGGGAGGCTGAGGCAGGAGAATCCTTTGAACCCCGGAGGCGGGAGTTGCAGACAGCCTGGGTACCGCATCCCAGCCTGGGTGACAAAGGTGAAACTCAGTCTGAAAAAAAATAACAGTTACGAGCAGGCGCAGTAGCTCACGCCTGTAATCCCAGCACTGTGGGAGGCCGAGGCAGGGGGAATCCTTGAGATCGGGAGTTCAAGAGCAGCCTAGCCAACATGGCGACACCCCATCTCTACTAAAAATTAGCCGGGCATGGTGGTGGGCATCTAAAATCCCAGCTACTTGGGAGGCTGAAGCAGGACAATATTTGAACCAGGAAAGCGGACGTTGCAGTGAGCTGAGACCCCGCCACTGCACTCCAAGCTGGGCGACAAGGGCAAAACTCAGTTTCAAAAAAAAAATGTGGCCGGGGCGGTGGCTCACGCCTGTAATCCCAGCACTTTGGGAGGCCGAGGCGGGCGGATCACGAGGTCAATAGATTGAGACCATCCTGGCCAACATGATGAAAACCTGTCTCTACTAAAAAATACAAAAATTAGCTGGGCGTTGTGGCACGCGCCTGTAGTCCCAGCTACTTGGTAGGCTTAGGCTGAATTGCTTGGGAGGCGGAAGTTGCAGTGAGCCAGATCACACCACTGCACTTCAGCCTGGTGCCTGGCGACAAAGGGAGACTGTCTCAAAAAAAAAAAAAAGTTGCAATAGGATTTTCCTGAGCCCAGTTTTCCCTGTGCGTTTCTATTTGAGTTCAGAACAAAACACCTCAAAATAACGCTAAGCTGGCATTGACTATTCTGTGAAAAACAGCAGGGGCAAGAAAAAAATACTTTGAACTCGTTTCTAAAGGCGAGTTGAACTTCCCGGTGATGTCCTCCGGATACCAGAGAAAAATTCTTATCTAGGAAGGGAAGTTGAGGCAGAGGAAAATCTATACAAAACTTATTAAACTAATACATACGTTCTTGGTTACGTTTCCATCCCTTTAACTGCTTTAGCCTAAGAACCCCGCCATCTTAGAACGTTTCGTTTATTGCTGTACCATTTTAGTATTTTAGTGTGCAGATCCACCTGGAACTTGCGGCTTTCCTTTGTAAGGCTGCCGTGACATGTCAGATTGGTATTAACTTTTATCAATTTCTCCTACTTATGTGTCTCAAATGAATCCTCAGGGTAAACTAAAAAAAATTAAGTCCCCATTCTGTTGTAAAGCTTTCCTACACTTCTGTGCTCACGTTGTTTAGTTTTTACCTGCAGTTTTTGTTTTGCGTCAGCACACAAGTTTTTTTTTTGTTTGGTGACTGGGTTTCGCTGTCGCCCAGGCTGAAGGACACTGGCGCGATGTCGGCTTAAGGCAACATTCCCCACCTGAGCTCAACTGATTCTCCTGCCTCAGCCCCAGTAATAACAGGGGCTGCAAGAGGGCGCCCCCAAGCCTTTAAAAAGACGGGGAGTTTCATCACATTAGCCAGACTAGTCTCGAAATCCTTACCTCAAGTGATCCTACCGCCTGAGGCCCCCACAGCTAAGGGATTTGTGTTGAACTGCCACTCTCCGCTGAAAAAGCCTAGTTTAGGCGCTGCAGGCGCAACCGCCATCCCCTAACCCTCCACTCACCGCCTACCCGTCCATCCTCGCTTTTAGTAGACTTGACTCCCCAGCGCTACGGCTCATTCAAATGAAACTGTTGGCGGCTCTGAAAAGAGCCTTTGGTTTACGTTGGCACTCGCCCTTAGTACAACTTATGCCCTCTCTCCGCGGATGCGGCGAGCGAGCTGGATGTCCTTGGGCATGATAGTCACCCGCTTGGCGTGGATGGCGCACAGGTTGGTGTCCTCAAAGAGCCCCACCAGGTAGGCCTCGCAGGCCTCCTGCAGCGCCATCACCGCGGAGCTCTGGAAGCGCAGGTCGGTCTTGAAGTCCTGTGCGATCTCACGGACCAGGCGTTGGAACGGCAGCTTGCGAATTAGTAGCTCGGTGGACTTCTGGTAGCGGCGGATTTCCCGGAGAGCGACTGTGCCGGGCCGGTAACGATGCGGCTTCTTCACGCCCCCGGTGGCCGGAGCGCTCTTGCGGGCCGCCTTGGTGGCCAGCTGCTTGCGCGGAGCCTTGCCGCCTGTGGACTTGCGAGCTGTTTGCTTGGTACGAGCCATGAGAGAGGGGTTCAGAAAATGGTCGCGACTGAAGAAACAGCTGGTCTTACTCCTATTTATAAAGGCAAAGGCCTTCTGATTGGTCCGATTCTTCCAATTTCGCGCCCTGAATCATGTAATGTGATAGGACCTGTGATTGGCTACCAGGTCTCATTTAAAAAATATTAACCTACCTAAAATGCAATAAAATAAATGGGAAAAAAAAAAAAAAAAGAATAAAATGTAATTTGAAAAGACAAAAAA